ATAATCCAGGAAACTAAACGAAATGTTATTATTTTACAGAATTAGAATTAAGTTTAATAATGTCCTCAAGATTAGCTCCCTTTGTTCGTCATAGCTTCTATATCTCTCTATTCAAATATGTGTAGTCTGATTAAATTGTGTGTTATTGAGAAGTTAGTATTGTATGTGCTCATGAAAACGACTGTCGTCCTGAGTATATGTGAAGTAAATTAGGCACTTTTAAGACGACAATAACAAGATTAACTACAGGCAGGTCCCCAGTATTGCAAGATAGTAGATAGGAGGGCTGTGTATATTGCCTTAAACTTGCAAAGGTATGTTTTTAAGTGGAGTGAAATATCGGTCCTGATTTTGTCTATTTTAGAAAAAAAATTGTGTAGGAGAAAGTCACTGTCAAAAATTAATATTCATCTACTATACTGGCATATTTTGTTTTCAGGTTATGGATCAGTGGCCAGCAGTCACATCTACAAATAGATAACAAATTTGTTATTTCAAGTTTTGTTTATACATTCTACGTGACTACTTTTGATGTCTCTTATACAGACAATTTCAATAGATCGCTCCTTCAAGTACTGTTAAATTACTTGATTTTGATGTTTTAACTTATGAAATAAACTCGCTGCTTAAAATTTGTTTTACTTTTCACTCTCAGTTGTAAGTCCGTAATTGACAGTGAGAAGTGGTTACTTCGGCCACGTCGTTGTATTAAATCATCAAACTGGTAAGGAAATGTGTTCATGTCAAAAACGTGGGGTAATCAGCGGATGAAAACATCGTTACCGAGCTGTTGATAAGTCCAGCCTTTGTGATTTTATTTTAATCTGTCTGTTTCCTTGTTATTTCTGATCATCAATATAAACTAAAAGGTCAAAAACAAGTTGGAAAAATACACAGCCGCTTCTTACCAACAAATCGTCAGGGAATGGATATAGGAACTACAGATTACAAGTTTTAACTGTACGCAAAACAATGCATTCTAATTTGTTGATTCCTAGAAAACGCAAGCACGATTACAACGTATACAACATAACTTTTCTCGTGCCTTTATTGTTTTTATCCAATCGTATCGGTCTCACCGTCATGTCACATGATTTTCTGACCACTATTTTCAAGGCCATCAACGACCAATTAAAATCACACTTGAGCAGTTGAAGTCCAATGAAATGAATCTGATTGATAGGGGTGTATTGATCAAGTCATACATGAATATGTAGTGACAGATATGTATCTTCAATATATTTCTCTGTCCTCTTGTTTATACCGCATACTATACGAACAACTAGTAGAGAAAGTGAGCTGAACATCTTGATTGAGGACCATGCATACAACGTGTGGTTTGAGTGCGATGGGAGAGTGTACGGATTAAGAAATGATCTACTTTCCGGAAATATATTGAAAGTTAACAAGCGACGTTAAACATGAATTTAAAGTATTCTCTCTTCAGAATCTGATAAATCTGCACTTACGTAGAGGACAAACTGAAACATCTGTTATCAGTGTCCATGTTTTGCAGATTCTGAATTATTTTAGTATGGAAACATTAGTGAACAATCTATTAGTATAGGGAATGAAAAACTATTTCTGAATTCGGAATACCAGTCAAAATGGTGGCAAGTCAACAAACAATATGTATGTGTATGTAGATCAACTTTTTCCCTTAAATGTAATAAGAAGATGTTTTCTATGCATCATTGATTGGCTTAGTTATTGAGATATATCCTGTACATATGAGAATGAGAATGAAAAACGTTAGTGTAAACTTAAATTTAGCAAAAGTCCAAGGTAAAAGAGGTGGCCGTATCAACTTTCGGACTCATATGTCTTACTTATTTGTGTGGATTCTTGCGGGTTTGTTTGTAAGAGGTAAATTGTAGCAATGTAAGTTGCCCATGGTATGTGTTTTTAGGAGAAAAGAGTTGGTGAACTTGAACAGATTATTATTATTTCTAAATTTGAAAGAACTGTTTCACGTTAGTCAGGAACGGAATTAACGGAAGACACTAATGAAGTTGTTTTCGTAAAAATCTCAGTGACTGGAATTAAAAGAAATCCCATATTATGTTCGTCAGTCTGATCCAAGCTTCATTTCCTTTGAAGAAGCTTGAAGTGTACTAACTCACTAAGAGTAAATTATTTTGGAGAAAATAGGGGTATTTAAATATTAAACAAACTGGACCGAATGCTGTTGATATACACATCCTTTTGCCGTATGGGAAAGTTGCCTTCTGTTCATTTGGCAACTAGATCTAATAAAATTTAGATTTTCTTTTCTCGGTTGATATCTTTTATTACTACCACTTTAGGACTCAAGAACTCGACGAGGACCTCTATCAACAAGTCTTACTGCTGTTTCATTATTCCTTTTCAACTGTTTTCATTGGTAAACTAACGGGTTTACGTTGTGTTTTTGTTATAACTTGTGACCTTGTGCCCTATCAATATATAACGTAATGATACCACCAATTAGAGAACAGCGATTTATCGACCAGCCCAATGACGCGTAAACCCGTACGAGTGGTCTAGAATCCTTATCAGACCGTCTCCCTGCCTAGCAATGCCTGTTGAGTCCAAAACACCAATCTCAGCCTCTAAAATATGAGTCATGTATTTCAAACATACTGTATTTATATACAAATCAAACAGATCACATCTCACCACAAAATAGAAAACAATATTTGTACAAGATCTAGCCAAAAGTGGCTGTGAATGTGGGAGATTGTAATTAATAGACTGAGCATAACTCAAGAACAGTAAATCGCATAATAATAGTCTATGGGTCAAGACAAAGCTTATAATAGGAGGAAATTGAATATGCATAATTTAGTTACATAACAGCTATACAATAAGAATATATGCATCGTATTGTTCCATAAATAGTTCTCAAAATCTACCACTTATAGTTCTCGTCGGGTTATAAAAGTTTTGAGGAATTGGTGGGTCCACCATCCCTTTTGACTGTCGATCTTTGTTCGCTTCTCAAGTATGAAAGAGAGGCTAATTCCAAAGTTGTAGCACTTAGCATAATAGGAAGAGATTCCTACTTTATTGTTCCAGCGTCATGATGCATAGGTGTATCTGAACAATGTATGTAAATATTGAGGAATTATTTATCTGAGTTAATCTCGTTCTAGGTAATAGAACCCTTCTGAGTTTTATAGTTACGATGTGAGAATTTCTACTCCTTACCTGAAGTTTACCTGTTTGATTTTATTCTATTTGTGTTACGTTTCTCCAAATTTCTACTGATAATTTCTTTGAAAACTAGTTATCAACGATGATCGTTATTCAGTAAACCAAAGTGCATCATGGTCTACTAAAGATAACCTTTAGCACCTCTCACTATCATTTAACCCTGGATCATTGTGGTATAGAACGAAAAACACGCATCTTATGATAAGCGATTTTATTACAAAGTATATGGTATTAAAATCACAGAGATAAGTAGTAATTAAATAAATCTATTTCATGAGTCTTGCAAACAGTGTGAATAATGAAAAATGATCGTACGTTTTCGAGATTTCAATATTATGCGTAAAAGTCATCAATGTCTGGAACCGCACCATAGCCTGAAATGAAATCACAAAAAAACTGTACAGAGACTGATTTTATTTACAATTCTGTCTTATTTATAAATGAATTTCAAAACCAGTTATTATTATTGAGTAATGAATTTGTAATTAAGCATTTGATATAAAAGCAATATTGTTCAATAAGTTTATGTCCTAAAAAATAAACTAATTCAAATGAACTGTCAACCAATTTCCAAGTTAGAATCTTCAATTCGAACGTCATAACAGCTCTGTTGTATGTAGCTGAAACTCGGGGAACTAGTACATCAACCATCAAAAAATGCATGTATTTATAAACAATTGTCTACGTAAGATGCTCAACATCCGTTGGCCGTATACCATCCACAACAGCCTACTGTGGAAGAGGACAAAGCAGCATCCAGCTGAGAAGGAAATCAAAAAAGACTTTGGAACTGGATAGGATAAACATTACGGAAATCACCCAACTGCATCACGAGGCAAGCCGTAACTTGGAATCCTGCTGGGAGACGGAAAAGAGGAAGGCCAAAGAACACATTACGTCAGGAAATAGAAGCAAACATGAAAAGGATGAATAGCAACTGGGAAGAACTGTAAAGGATTGCCCAGGACGGAGTTGGAAGGAGAATGCTGGTGGGCAGTCTATGTTCCTCCAGTTGAAGTAACAAGCGTAAGTAAGAAGTTTATTTCCTCTTCATAAATTAATGCACAGTTAGTATGTGAATTCACAGTTATTTATTTGTTTGGTAAAACTATTGATGAGTAGTCGAATGACTCATGGTTTATTGGTTATGTTGAAGTTTACTTATCCATTGACTCATAAATTTTAGTCAGTTTTTTTTACAACGTAACCGCACCAAATGAGTTTTCATTTGGTATTCCAGCAAATGCTTTATTACACAAATGTCACTTACTCTAATTTGCTGTCAGACCCAAGAATAAGCCTAATTAGTACTCGACAATCATAGTTATGTATATTGATTCATCAGAATATTTCGGTCGCGCTCTATAATATATCATTATTCTAATACACCAGCAATTAAAATGAATTTGAAAGCTACTGTGGCATTAGTTTTTCAAAATCCACTTTCTACTGGTTTATCTTTCAAAAAATCCAGATTCTTACAGAGATTGTCATGATTATTGTCGAATGATAAATGTTACTTTTATTAGGAAAAGAAAGGTCATCAAACTACCAACAACTCACCTCTCGGTCCAAACAGCGTATTATAACAAGGTTCAGTACAATATAGTTTTCCATCACGCTGAAATGCAAATATGATGTCGTCAGGATTATTAGTCTTTGGGATGGTTTGTTATCGTATGATATTGGTTACTACTGGTTTAGATTATGTTGTTGTTGAAATGTAAATCATTACTAAGCAGTCTTAATAAATCATTCAAACATCTTTGTTTATTCATTTTGAAACTTAATCATCTTACTCTTAATCTAGCCAGTTACAAATACTGAAATTCTTGAACTCGGTCCTCTGTACCCTACTTTATACATGTATACAGTGTCTTCAGTTTTCTCCAGTTCATTGAGAAACGTAGTCGGAAACTTTCATCGAATCCAAACTATGGCTTGAGAGAACATGTTACTAAACATCATCAATGGTGTGCTTATGTTATTTATTTCGTGTCGAGAACCAATGGAGTATCCATGTCAATTAAAAAATAAGTTATTAAAAAGCGTAAGTAAATACTATGACTACGTAAAGTGAATCATAAAACTGGTTTGAATCCCATTAGCGAAATCATACTACTCTTGAAACGAAACGGTCTATGTCGTTATAAGAAATCTAGCCAAACCACTCAATCGTCAAATGAATGCAACATTAGCTAGTACAATGTGAATAACTGTTTCAAACACGCTTCATTTAAATATAATTCACCAAACAATACTTTAGATACAATTTCGTTAGTTAAAGCAAATATTTAATAATTCACTTACTTCTAGGCCACAACCGGGAAGCATGGTTTTACTACATCTGCTGCACTTTAAGCATTGGCGATGCCAGTCACAACCGAATGAGCTTACCCGCTCAGCTGTTTAAATAATATTTAAAGTATTGTGCTCACCAAAGTAAACTTCTCTATCACATCCAGGACACCTCATAGTTTCAGATGGCAGATGCTTCTAAAATTAATCAAGAAAGCTATTGAACTGATTTCTATTTATGACAATTTACAGCTTGAACATTACTTCTGTTTGACGGTTTTATTACTTGTCTGAGAAATTGATTTGAATATTCTGTCATATGTCCCAACACTTATTGTCATTTAGAGTACCAATTGCCAATAAACTTCTTGTCTGTATAGCATGGTAATCCAATAAGATAATCACAACTACCAATAAAAATTAGGAGGAGGGGTGGATAATTAGGTCCTTCTCAAATGGTTTGGTTGAAATTCGCATTAACTACTAAAGTATACCTCACGTGCTACAAATGGGTGGTATAGAAAATTGAGAAACATGAGAATAGGCAGAATTCGTGTGAAAAAATCACAAGAACTACAACAAACGGCCCATTAGTTTACACATGTCAGCTGACCTGATGAAAAATGAAAATGTTCTGGTTTATTATGTCGAATTTCAAAATAGATCCATGGTTCAAGAATGGGCTATGAAACCTGGTTAATTTTGACTTATTTCTATTTCTTTCTGTTGAACCGATTTGTTAGGTCCATGATAAATTTGCTTTGTCTTTTAAATAAATGACTGACTGACGTTTCTCATAACAGAGAAGAGAAAAATATTTGTTAGCTGAATAGAAGTGAGAATAAACTATGAGTCAACATCCAACAGGTATGGTTATAGCGGCTTGATCGTCTTCCCATCACATATTTTTGATAAGAGGTAATTAAGTTTATCAAAAGAAATAATAAATCCAAAATAACGTAATTGATACCATTGCCTCTATTTAGTCAATTGAGCATACATCTGACATTACCTTACGAACACGAAGCATTAATTATCACAAACTGGCTAGAGTTTAGTAGAGTCATAAATAATCGGTCTACGTAGACTAGTACATGAAGTGTTGTAAGCTAACCTTGGATATATGATATACATGCTTATATCATCCCAGTAATGTCTAAGCAGTAAATGGTCTGATATTTTTATTTCTGAAAACCAAATCGTTGGTAAACGCCATTAGGGCTTAACTAAGCCTATTTTTGTTCATTTATTAGATTTTATTCAAGTTTTAAGTTGGATTTGTAGAACAGCTTACTATATGTTAGACTAAAACTCCTAGTTTTCGTCTTTTAGTTAATAGTTAATCTTTTTAGGCCTTTCGGTACACCATGTGACCTCAATAAAGAACTTGATCTTCATTTCCATGGCGTTATATTGGTCAGTGTTAATGAGCTTGAAATTGCGGTTAGAACTCCACATTGATTAGGTTTTTACAATCAAACATCATACTTCTATTGTAGCTATGTAGTTTTCATCGTATGAAAAATCAAATCGTGCATATAGTTTAACCGGTCAAAATAATAATCGATGGTGAAGTCGGTAGGAGCATCAGGTATACTCTTGTGGATATCGTCTACCCTGTGTTTATGATCTGTCATTCCAGATGATGCTATAATATCTCACAATATTTCATCTAGCCAAAGTATTTATCATCTATCACTAGACAACCGGCCACATTAACCACAAACAATAACTCAGATGTACTGCCAAGAACCTATGATATCACTAGTTTGTTCAAAAGTTACCTATTATTAAAACAACAAATGAAAGTTACCAGTGTTCAAATCTCATGTTCCTTTTAGTTTTGAAATCTAAATGACTCCCACTAACATGTATCAACAATGCTAAATTCAGAATCGGCAAAATTATTTACAGACGAAGCTATGAAATACCAGGGACCAATTCACAAATTAGTATATTAGCCGATAGCCTCATGGCTAGTCTAGATAACAGTAGGCTGAACTATGTAATAATACAAACTGACCTACTTCATAAGTCTCTTCAACAATGTAAACATTCAGTTTATGATACAGTAACAAACCTGATCTCTAATTAGCTACTTCTACGGTAGGGTAGGCGTTCCAGTAGTGGGGACATGAAGTGAACAATAATAATTGCTAGTCAAAACACACTCTTGCAGAAAGAACAGAATGTGTTCAAGTGATGAGCGAGTATTATCATAAATCAATATGTATTCTCTTCTTGTTTCCTATGGCTGATCCTACCACTCTGAGTGTATCTAAAGCATGATTATCACAAAAGAATAAATTTTAGGAAAGATTTTGAAAACACATGAGAGACCCTAGACATAAATCTTGCGAAGGTAATACTTGAAACCTTTAATAAAGTTTACCTTAAAATCAGATTTACAGTAAAATGTAATAGGAATTATGCGTTCTATTTCCTGCATCTAGATATTTCCCGACGGAATGATGTGACTTGACAGAGGCACATAAATAAGAAACTCGGGGCAGGCAGTGTATAAACTTTTGTCGCTTCTTTCTTATGAGCTATCAATATCGTCCAATGCAAACATTCTAACACAACCAGAGATTTATGTTTAACATGAAAGATAAAAAAGAGTATGAAGTGATAAATAATTGTCTTGGATTAAACGTCTATCCGCACTTATAATCAAATGTATTGTTGAATACCAAAGACTGAATACACTTTTAAAAAGTACACTTGAAGCAACTAAATACCTCGATGCTCAATAATACAAAAAAAGTAGATAAATATCTGTCAAACTTTAATGAAAAGTTAGGAAGACGGATATCTGCACGTTTTGTTAATCATATTCTCAAGAAGCAACGTCTTAGGGTACAAGACGGTTGATAACATGCCACATCCTGGAAACAGGACATTAAGTGAATTTAATAAATCCATTCAACAACAAGGGATACATCTTTTTTATTGAGACTCCTAGGACCCATAGGAATTAGAAGGGTTAAGCCTATCGTGGAGAACAGGACTCTTCTCTTTTCGCCTTCAGGATGTAGTGACTCACGTTTATCACGAGAACACGACTGGTTTAATAAAAACAATTATTATTATAACCAACTGTACCAGTGTTTGTTTTAATGTGCTTTTGTTTAACTGTGCTAATTGTAGCCATTTTGTGCTTCCATTACCTTCCATTATTATTCCGCGGTTTTTGGTACTGCTCGCACGTACTCCCGTTTCTGCTTTCACTTGTACCATTCCTTGGCACGATCTCGGTATTCGTTCAATACCACGAGATCGCCAACGAAATAAATCTGGTTACGATCGATCCTCGCCTTCTGATTTGTCTGGCACGTGTTTCTGGGTAGCGGTGTTCACAGTTAATCTCAACTCGACGCCACGCTACAATTGGTGAGCCCGACGTTCCGAACACGCAGCCATCTGGAGTCAGATCTTCCAAAGAAGCCAATTTGGTGAGTCTATTATTTATCTATCCACGTCTGTCGTATATTTTCATATTAATTTTTAATATATAATATACACGACATGACGGATAGCGAGAAGAATACTATTAATGCTATAGACTCAGACGTACAGGCCATTCATTTTCGACCTGTATCATTTATCCCCCACGACCCTGAGGTCTGGTTTGCTGCGTTAGAGTCTCAGTTCGAGACTCGTCGCATCACGAGCCAAAGGCAAAAATACGCCTACGCTCTCGAGTCATTACCCGGGGACCACTTGGTAGCTGTTCGTGAGGTTGTCCTCAATTCTAACGTACCTAATGTTTATGATCGCCTCAAAGAGGCAATTCTCCGACATTTCCTCCCATCGAGGGAGGAACGATTGAGGACACTGTTAGCACGTCACCCCCTGGGTGATGCTAAACCGAGCCACCACCTCACGCGCCTGCAATCTCTTGCAGGACCAACAGCAAGTGACTCAGAAATAGTTAAGGAATTGTGGCTAGAGTCACTACCAGCACATATCCAACCCACTGTGACGGCACTGCTCGAGGACTCACCGCTTGACCAGGTAGCCCTCATAGCAGATAAAATTTTAGCGAGGACTAGCAATAAAGATACCTATGTAGTTGCTTCAACGGCACGTCCTAAAGTAGACTTGGACGCCGGTCATTCCTCAGCTCATGGCGACAGGGACGGGTGTATCCACACACGTCTTAGTTTTCGAGACCGTTGTAACGTACCCCAACCCTACGTCCCCCGAGCTCGCTCAAGTTCTCGCAAACGCGTCACCACTCGCCCAAAACGGGCATCTTCCAAGCCACGCCGGAAGGCGGCTACGGAAGCGAGTGATAGATGGTGCTGGTTCCATAGGTCCTTCGGGTCTGGCGCCCGCCGTTGTCGAGCACCATGCTCATACAAGGCGGGAAACGCCAGCGCCGGCGAGTAAAAGCGGCCGTACTCGCCGGCCCTTCACCCCAGGTTGGTCGCCTATTCTATGTGCACGATTACCGCACGAACGCTAGGTTCCTAGTAGACACTGGGGCCCAAGTTTCTGTCGTACCACGAGGTAGCAGCAAGTCACAAGCCACAGTGCTTCGACTACGCGCTGCGAATGGCTCAGTCATTCCTACCTACGGTACACGACAACTCGCGGTCAACCTGGGCAACCGACGACGGTATCTGTGGACGTTCATCATTGCTGATGTTCCCACAGCCATACTAGGTATCGATTTTCTACAGCACTATGAATTGCTTGTCGATTCACGTAGGCTGCAGCTAATCGATACTTCGTCGAACAGCAAAT